GTCGCTTGGCAACGACGTTGTAAAACAAGCCAATTCACTTCGTGAACTCGGCAACCAGGTTACCGTTTTTTTTTTTTACCTCGTTTTTTTTTTGGCGGTAACCATAATGGTGGTCGAGTAGATCATGTTGTGCAGGGTGGAGAAACCTCACTCCGCGCAACGGGGGATGATCGCACCACGTTGTGTTAAAATGGTCAAGCTTCCTCGAGGCAGTTACACAGTGCTTACAACTGTCTCTGGAAGTGCAAGCACCAGAAAATAAATTAAGTCATACGTAGCTGTCATCCGTACGCAAGGAAGTAAGCACAAGATGCCGAACACCCTTAGCAGGATGCAGCTCACCCTTCATGCGACTCGCCAAATACCTCACGGCGCTTCGCGCCTGGTGATGTGAGAGCCTGGTCCGGTGAGAACCCGGCGTGCTCCGTCCCGGCTTTGTAGGGATGCGAGGTCAATGGTCAAACGACTACGGCATGCACGACTATGAGTACACCCCCCCCGTCTCTCTTGCTGTCGGTAGAGGTCTCTACTTCTCTGTCCAATTGATTTCTCGGTCCTGCTGCTTCGGCCTCTTGCCCCCCTCCCCCGTCTTAGGAACGATTGGCCATCGGTGATCGGTCCTGTGGGAACAATGCTCCGTCCTCTCGAGGACGCGTGGTCAATGGTCTAAGGCATGCAAAACACGAGAGAACCCCCCCCCCCGGCCCCCCGGTCCTGCCCCCGCGTCCTCTTCCCCCGCCCCCCTACACATCCCTCTCTCCTCCGACCTCATGGTCGTTGTCGTCGTCGCCATCGTTGTCCAGGTAGTCTTCGCGGCTCTGCGCTAGCTCCGCCATGGCCTGTACACGCAACCCCAACAAATAATAACCCAAACGGACGGCAATCACGAGGCGTCCAGAAAATAAATTAGGCATGAAACGACGCCGTGCTGTAGGGCCGACCGCACCGCAGAGACACTTTCGTTCGACCACAGGGCCACCCCGTGGTCAATCCAGGGGCCCAACGCGTGTGATGAAACGGACAAGCGAAGCGGACCGACTAGACTGCACGACGAGCACAACACCGCAAGGGTGTGAGGATGCGAGAGAACGCACGGTTCGGTGACATCGCACGTACCGGTCATAATCGCACCGCCCCGTGCGATAAACAACCAAGAACGCCATCATGTAAAAATCGATCGCACGCTCGTTCGTTCTCTCGCATCCTCTTACGGTATCATACAACCGCCCATCACCTTGTAGATGCCGGCCACGCCCCCATTATCTCGGAAGGACGCGACCCAATCCTCGTCGGCCTTCTTGAGCGCCCTGTGGAGCTCCTTTATCTCCTTCAGCTCCGGCAGGTCTTCCACCTCCATGAGGGAGTCCGCGAAATCCTTCGCGGACTTTTCCTGGAAGAGATGGAGAACGTGGTGGTGAGGAGCAGAAGCACCCAACGCGCCGCAATCAACATCTTTTTTGTATTTTCTTAATCGTTCGCCGGGTTATCCTTCCCCCTCGCGCCCTGGCGACACTCTCGCCTGTGTGCCGGGTATTCCATGTTCCCTTCGGAGGTTCACTGACGTACAGCACTCGCCGCACTTGACAAAATTGTGGTACTTAAGAGAATGAGGGTTCGATTGTCAAGAAACATAAGAACTCGAACCCTGCACACACTAAAACCTACCATAGTCTATGTTTCCTGTTGGTTTTCCCACTGATCAAATTTGGCGCGAGGGCTGAGCAAACCGAGCGTTTTTTGAAGTCGTGGTGCATCTGTGGTGCATCTGTATGAAGCGCACCCTGGTGCGGGCCCAGAACTTGCCACAAATTCACAATCTTGAGTGCTAAGAGGAAAACACCTGTGCGGGCCCTCTGCTGCGAAACGCAACAAACCCTTCGCACAATACGTACGTAAGATTGCGAAACCGACACAACGACGACGGGTGTTCTCTAACAGATCTACTGCAAGAACTCACAAACGTCGACATCGTCTATCACATCAACCTGATGATACATAAAACCACCACCACCACCAACACCAACACCAACAACAACAACAACACGTTACCTTTTCCGCGACAACTGTGGAAGCCGCCTCCATGATGGCCGCGAACTGCGGTTCGGATGCCCTCCGGTCCTTCAACCCTCGGGCCTGAGCCGACAGGACTCGGGAGGAGCCCCCTTCGCCATTGCTCAAGTCTTGGATAAGGTTGCGCTTGGTGGAGTTGGGGAGCTTCTTGAGCAGCTGGCGGAGGTCATCATCCAGCCTTTCTTCCGAGGTCTTCCCGCCCAACAACAACAAAAAATTCAACAACGAAAAAAGGAAGAGCAGCGCAGGTGTTTAGGTCAGGTGTGGACGTACACGCGTTTATGTACCCACACAAAAAGCATCACACGACAAAAAACAGAGAGGGGATGTTGAGCCTGGCATACACTTGTTCCCACACAAAACGAGAGAAACAACGGGGGGCCGATGGGGAGGCTCGACCGCAAGAGACAAGCATGTCTTTTACCCTAAAGCATGAACCATTGGTGGACTTCGGACAGCTGATTCCGGTATCCTGAAAACACATGCGCACCCTCATCTTTGGGGCTTATTTTTTTCCTGAAAAGAGCAAAAATGATCAGAACAGACAGCAGTTTCGGGCTGTACCACAACTTCTTCGGGAGTCATGCCTGCGCCTTCTCGTCTAGCAGCAGGTACACGCGCAAACCATGTGTGACTTTCCTCGCCTTTCTCCGCGCCTGGGCAGGCCAACGCTAGATGGTTTTCATGGATACTACCTTAGGGCTAGGGTTATTGTCTTTGTTGTCTTTCCCGCGAGCCGGTCCAAGAGAAAGCCTGCCGATGTCTAAATCCTGGCGTTAACGTTTTTTTTATTTTTCTTAATATGACACAACGAATCCATCTCTGTCATAGAAAAGAGTCAGAGACAGATTAGCAACGTTTTGAAAATTTTCGTATTTGCGGCGAAACACGTCGAGAACAAAAAAAAACGTTTTTCATGTTTCTCTTCGCTGGTCTCGGAAGTTGAAGGTTCTTCACGCGACATGTTGGGGTTTCACGCATACTCTTGATGAGGTTCTGTAGGTGACGGGAAGGCTAAGGCTTGACCACCAAACTCCGTTCCTTTGGCTGTGCGGAGTGGGGAAGAAGAGGGGGAGGTGTGTACTGCTGTGTACTGGACGGAGGTCAGACCATCTCAAAACATTACCGTAGAAAAACCGGTAGCCTCCGCTCCGCTAACGCTGTGAGTTCATTGCTAATCTACCGAAGACTCTTTTCTATGGATAGAGAGAGGTACAATCGTTGTGTCATACTTCAGAAAAAAACAAACAACCGCAAGCAGGACCACGGCGGAGAGCAAAAAAAACAAAACACTGCTGGTCTCTACTACGCGGTGGTGCGGAACCCCTGCTGCGTGACCCCCGCTGGGGTGCTGCTGAGCTGCTGAGTCCAAACGTACCTAAAGGTGTGGTCTAACGTGTTGAGTGTGACGTCCAGAACGTACAATACAGTCTTTTGGAACAGTACACACAATACCACGAAGGAGGGTGTGTACACGGAATTTTTCCATGGGCCAACCGCCGCCGGTCCGGGGTCGGAGTGAATCCGCGCCGTGCCTTCAATTCCAGCTGTTCCATTCTTTGCTATGGGGGCCTGCCTGGCAAAACTTTCTCGTAAAAATCCCGCAATCAAGCGGAGCCATTTTTGTGGCTGCATGCGTGCCGCGTTGTTGCCGAGAGTAGACAGCGCACGGCAGGCGGGCTGCTGCCTTCGGGCCATGAAGAGGGCAGGTCCTAGTTGGGATACAGGAGCGTCGGCTTGGTACGCTGCGGTAGACTCCGTCTCTGGTGTGAGGTGTCTCGGGGGTATGCGAACGCTTGCTGTACGGCACGCTTATTTGTATCGGCCCGCCCATCCCACACCCACGACGGCAACAAAGGCCGCCGCGGCAGATAACTACATCATAATTTACCCGCCGACGCAATTCGTGCTTGTTGGGCTACAAGCAGACAACGTGCACAGCCAGGATGACAGGACTGAGCCCGTAGAAAGCCCATAGGGCGCAACTGTTCCGTGCAGCAGATGGCGAACGACGTAGCATTGAGCTAGCTGTCTCTCTAGGCGCCAACACATGACGTACTGCTGCTGAAGTGCAGGTGTCTATGTAGCGAGAAGAAGGGAGTTTTGGATTTCATTACAGAAATGCTGTGCCCATCTTTCAATAAACAGCAGGTCGGGAGGATGTCGGGGCACCGGTACCACCAACGAGAACAGCTCCTACGGGGGCAACGGATTGGATGGGCGAACGAGGTCTCGCAAAAGTCGGGGAGTCTGGTGTGCAGTTGCTGTGTCTAGAACCATTTGCCCTCTCCATTGGCGAAATCATCTCCGCTTCCGGCTCACGGGAGAGGCGCGTACCTGATATTCATTGCGACACTTCTCTGCTACCCTCCCAACTCCCTGTGCTCCCGCTCTTTGCCACTTGGCGTACGCGTCCCTCCGGACAGTTTGCCGTGTCGTGAGGGCACAGAACCCAAACGCACGACAACGAGAGACATGTTCAATGGACATGTTTTTCATGGAGGAAGAGGCGAGCAGGAGAGAAGCTGCCCAAACCACCACCATTATTGCTCACCGTCTTTTTGGAGGTTCGGCGCAAGTACTTGTTCAAGAAACCCATCTTTGTTCGCCTCCTCTCCTTGCAACCCACATATAACCTTTCTCCGACAGCGGTTCTCGCCTAAGGTTGGCACGAGGTTGTAGTTCGAAACAGAGACACTCAACAACAGACAAGGAGAGAGCAACCCTGGGAGGGGACGGGGACGCGGGAGCACGATATTGAGCAACGCCTTCCAGGATCTGAAGACTCCCGCCCTTGCAGCTCGTTGCTCGCAGCTCGCAGCTCAGCTTGCACAGCGGCAGCGGGAGTCCTACAGGTCCGCGAGCTAGCTTACGGGATCGATCAAGTAGAGACGGTGTGGCAAAGATCGCTGCTGTTCCTGAGCGCCATCATGTCGAAGAAGTGAGTGGTTGTTCCGAAAAGAACAGCAGACAGCAGCGAGGTGTCCATGCATACAATGCGATATTTGTATGTGTTAACTCTCAAGTCAAGTACAGCAGTAAGATTTCACTTTTTGTCTTGTTCCATCTTCTCTCTCTGCTTGCTCACGTTCACAATGCACACACCGCCAACACCGCCGGCTTCACCACAAACAGGCCACCCCGACCCCTTCCCTGACCGATTGCGTATCCCTTCTTCGATTTTTCGCGAATGCGCCAATCAAATTCCAGGTCCGTCTTCGCCTTTGTCCAACTCTGCTGCCGCACGGCGGCGCTCAGGCCGTCGTTGCTGCAACCGCAACCGCCGGTACATCTTGCAGCTGCTAGCAGCAGCTGGTTCCCCGGCCCGGCAAAAACAACAACAACGCCGCCACGAGGGCGTGGCGGCCCACAAACCAGATCAATCGCTACGGGCTTTGTCCTGCCGCTGAACGCCCACCTCGGCGGCGGTGATGGCCGTGCCATGTCCGCGGCTAGCGGCCGGAGACAAGCAGCCGGGCGGGCGGCGGGCACGACAACAACGACGGCCGCAGCGGTCCTGGCAGCAACGCTGCTGCTTTCGTCGCCGTCAGGCGCGGTAGCCGGCGGCGGCGCGGCGCCGTTTGGGGGATGGGCGGCGGGGCGGCGCAGGGGGGCGCACGCGGCGACGACACCGTCGATGGCCGCTTCCGCGGTGGAAGAGGGGGTGACGGCGGTTGGGCGGGGCGCACCCGGTCAGGACGGTGCCGCTTCGAAGCCACCGGTTGTTTTCGTCCTCGGTGGTCCTGGGTCTGGCAAAGGGACGCAGTGCGAGCGACTCGCGAAGGAGTATGGGTGAGGGAAGAAGGGCCAGGGCAGCAGGGCGGAGGGGATAGAAACACAAGTTTGCTTCTACACAACCAATCGCTGAGTCCTCGAACGCCGAGAGTAGGGTCTAGAGGCTATCCCGCTTGCAGTGACCTTAGGCTCAGTGCCAGGGTCGTCCCCTGGGCCTCTTCAGTTCGCTGCCTTCTGAAGTACAAGGAATCGCGAAATACCTCCTTTATAGAACTCTGTAAAAGTCGTAGTCGACACTGCTGTTGAACCATCTCCGGCATGGCATTTTGCTCCTGAGAGCCTCGAAGGACAGACAACTTTTTTCTTTTTTGATCGGGGTCACTCTGTGGATGCAGATGCGAGTAAAGTCCAGTCTAGCAATCCTCTGAGAACGTGGGTGTCCCGAGTCGAGCTCTGTGTTGAGCGAGAGCGTCTGCGGCCTTTGGCCACTCCGAAAGGCACTTTATGTACGCGAGCCAGAGGCGCTGGTGGTGTATGAGGGCATAATAAAAGGGCCGAAGAAAGAAGACAGCAGTAGATATCTTGATTGGCTGTTGACGTGACTGCGTCCGGTGAGCCGTAGATAACAACCTTCCAGAGACCAGGGGACCTCGTGTGCAAATCACTCGGTTTCTGGGTCACAACGTTTTTCCTCAGAGGTTGATACACACCATTAACTTTTCGAACGATTGACCACTACAGGTACGTGCACCTCTCGGCGGGGGAGCTGTTGCGCCAGGAGCGCGCCAGCGGCTCGAGCGACGGGCAGCTGATCGACGACTACATCGCCGAGGGACGCATCGTGCCCGTCGCCATCTCCCTGGCTCTGCTGAGGAAGGCAATGGAGACGAGCGAGCCTCACTCGAGGTTCCTCATCGACGGCTTCCCGCGGAACAGGGACAACATGGAGGCAAGCAAGCAAGCAACACACCTTGTTCGTTTAAGTATGCGTAGCGCGCAACAGGGGGGGAAAGATCGGCTTGCGTAGCACAACGCGTATGCAGCACAACGTACGTACGTACGCTGCTGTTGGGGGCGCGACAGTTGGGCTAGCGGGGACACCGAGCACCGATGAGACGGTCCCTACCACAAGAACACGATTCCCTCCAAAACCCGGGGACGATTCTTGAGATTGTGCTTACAACTCGACCCAGGTGTCAGTACTAAAGTGGTGGGGACTACCTGAGCCACAGGCATCCAGGACGTGACAATTATTTGGATTGTGTCTTTTGTGCCAAGCTTCCATGATCGCTTCCCCACCCGCAATTTTGCCGGACACATATACGGCAATTTGTTCGTCGACCACCAGTGTACCGCCAAAGGCGTGTTGAATGCTGTCCCCCATGTTGCCGATTTTTTTGTATCCAGGGGTGGGATGAAGCCATGGGAGACGTAGCGGACATTCGATCGGTGTTGTTCTTGTACTGCCCGGAAGACGTGCTCGAGAAGCGCTTGCTCTCGAGGGGCAAGAGCAGCGGAAGGACGGACGACAACGCCGAAACCGCGAAGCGGCGGTTCCAGACGTACGTGGAAATGACTTTGCCGGTGAGGGATCATCGACCCCTACGCAGTTACTTACCGACACTGCGTGCATGCTTTCTTCTTTAATAAGCGGGGGGAAAGGTCAAATGCTGCGCTGATGGGACGACATCACCAGGTACATTCCGTTTTTATTTGACGTTGTGGCGGTCTCATGTGGGGGCGACGCCGATTGCATCCCCCCCCCCCCTCACTACCCTTGAAGCAGTAAGACAGGGAGTCCAAGTAGGGGGAAAGAGTGTGTCCGGACTGATGTTTGCAGATGATTTTGTGGGGGTATCCGAAACACCAGAAGGGTTGCAAGAACAAATAGATGCGGCGGTAGGATACACCCGAAAATGGAGACTGTCGGCGAACGTAGGAAAATGCGCAGTAGTGGTCTGTAACGAAGACAAGAAAAATCCCGTAGAATTCAAATGGAAATGGGGGGAGGAAGAACTACCGGTAGTAGACAAGTATACGTACCTGGGAGTAGAGATTTCGAAGGAGTGCTCATGGGACGCACACATAGCGAAGTTGATTGGGAAGGGTAAAGCTCAGATAGGCAAGATGGACGAGATCCTTACGGACCCACACCTAGACACTAGGATTAAGAGGTGTATTCTCTTGAATGTGATTGTACCTAAGCTAGAGTATGCAGGAGAGGTATGGGAAGGTAACGAAAAGGCCGTCAAGCAGCTGGAAACGGTGCAGATGGCAGCGGCCAAGAAAATATTAGGATGTTCAAGTACAACGAGCAACACTGTATTGAGAGCAGAATTGGGAATGTACTCTCTTAAAACAAAGAGAGACATGCAGAAGTTGAATTGGCAGTACAAGGTAAGTAGAATGTCGGACGATAGACTACCAGCCATGGTTGACAACGCAGCTTGGGGAAAAGCGACTCCAGGAAAGAAGGGAATCAGATGGGACAAGGTGGTAGAGAAGGTTTGGAAGGAGATAGGAGACGAGGAGGAGACGTTGGACACGGAAGGGTTCGGGGGGTTCAAGACGAAAGTCAAGGAGATGCTAGAGAGTAGGGAGGAGGCAACCCATCGGAAGAAGGTACGAAGCGAAGACCACTTGGAGATATACGGGAAGTTGAAAGAAGGGATAGGGATGAAGACGTACTTGGACGGCCCCATGGACTATGCGAAAAAGCTGAAATTGCAATTTCGAGTAGGCGATCTGGACTTGCCAGAACGGAGGAAGAGGTATACCAGCCGTAGGAGAGAGGAAGAGGAGGATAGACACACATGTCCATGTGGCAAATCGGAGGAGAGTAGACCCCACATAGTTGGGGAGTGTGAGTTGTACAAGAAGGAAAGAGAGGATCTCGAGGAGGAAATGAGACAGAGAGGGTGTGACATGGACAAGTTTGGTAAATTAGACAACAGCGAAAAAACGATCGCGATAATTGGGGATAGATGGTGGGCACAAGAGGCCCTAGAGGACGGGGATAAGATGTGCAAGAAATTTTTATGGAGTTTGTGGCAGAAACGTAAAGAGCTCCCAAATGTTGGTGGTGTCTCTAGTAGGTGTAGGAACGGTGCTCCGTCTCGAAAGGGACGCGTGGTCAATGGTCAAATGACTACGGCAAGCAACAAATGAGTACGCCCCCCCCCCCTCACTACCTCTGTTGCTGTGGAAACTAAAGGTGGTGGAGGAATTCCAGCAGAAGGGAATCGTCCCCCGCGTTGACGGCAACCAAGACATCGAGTCTGTGTTCCGCGACGTCCTTCTCGGGCTAAAATCGGTGCACGAGAAGGAGGTGTTAGACGCGAACCGCTTGGCTGTGGAGGCCGTCTGCACAGGGGACTGGGCGGCGTACGCGCAGGTGGGTGGCGTGCGCTTGCGGTAGTTGTGTACAATGTAGGTCCCCTTCACCCACGATTGCAGCATTGCACTAGTGCTGCTACTCCTGCGACTCCTCGGCTCTAATTCCTGAATCCCTGCTCCCGCGTCCATGTTCTCCTCTCGTGAAGCTGTGCGCGCCGGGTATGACCGAAGTGCTAGGGGGGGGACTGGCGGCCGTATCCCCGGACGAAAGCGCCTCCGCCTCCGCCTCCGCGTCGCCGGCGGCGATTTCGAGGCCACAAGTGCGCATGCTCAAGGGTGGGGCGGCGGCCGTTGTCTCGTGCGAGCGGCCGCGGGGGCCGGGCCTGACGGGCGGCGACAGCGGCACTGCGGTCCGTGAGACGAGGGTGTGGGAGATGCTGGACGGCCGATGGAAGTGCGTCCAGTGTCACACCTCGCTCTGATTGGGCGGGGGGAGGGGGAAGTCGTCACGCCGCCCGAGGGGTGACGATGTCCGAGTACTGGGAACGGTTCCTGGGAATGGTTCGTGTTTTCGTGAGGGTTCTGGGAGGGAAACTTTGTTTTTTCTCTCTGCGCGGGACGAATCGCATAGAGCGACGCGGCGTTTTAGAGATTTACATATGTCATAGAGCTGAATATTTTCTGCCGCGAGATCGAATTTCTCGCCATCTCTTTTTGAAGCTTGCCACCCAAAGAGCGTTCGTTTCCAAGACGTGATTTTACGGCACTGAGTTCGTCTCGTGTGGCATAGTCCGCGATGGCGATTTCCGTGTAAATTGGTTGCACCGGGGCGGGGGGAGGGGAGGCAACAGCGTATCGCCCTGTCCTTACACGCCATGAGCTGGGGCCATGTGAATGGGCACAGACTGTGGCCGGCCGTGAAACTCGCGAGCTGAATTTTAATTTTTCGACCTTCGAAGTTGACGAAGGGCCCACGTGGAGGGGGTAAGAGTATGAGATAGAAATACATAGAAGACGTCGGAGTGCACGTGCTGGGGTGAAATTGTCCATTCGACTGAACCACAGCAGTAGGTAGTGTGTGAGCGAACTTAAGAAAGTCCGCTGGCGTCCCTAACACCAACATTCATGCCTCGGAACATACCACGCGTTGGAAATTTGCGCCCGTTCTTGCGCAATCGTGAGTTTGGTTGGGTGGCAGCCTGGGCTCTCGTCGTTTCCAAAAGCGACGGTTGCGAAAAACATCTTGGGTCTTTTCCTTTGACCCAGGGTTACGACTCTCCGCCGGATTGACACGCGCGCCATAGGGTACGCCAGAAGGAGTAGTCCCCCAGCTCGAACTGGTTTCTCTTTTATTCGCACTCTCCTCTTCCCCCTCCCCCCCCCACTCCTATTCCAAATCTGCGCACACGCGGAAGACAACCAACCAGCTGCTCAGTTCAACGAGTTCGGCGCACCAAAACCGGTCACATCATCAGGACGTTGGCGCTAGGCGGGGGAAAACAAGGGGCCTTCCCCCTCCGGCTCCGAAAACGTTTTCGCACCACGATTGCCCGTCTGCCCCCGACTGAGCCAACATGTAGGAAAACTGAGCGCGGACGTCTGCGACGAATCTCTCGTCCTCGGCCTCTGGAGAGGTCGAAGTCTGAGCCAATAGTTCTCGGTCCGGTAGGACGAGCATTCGTACCAGCCAGCGGGGGTCCACGAAGACGGGGAATGGGGAAACAACGACGCTATCCAATCGGGGTTGGTAGATCTTGCGCGGACAAACAGCGCGAGAGGGGAGGGGAGGGGGGGGGGCCGGGGGGGGGGCATGCAGAGGCAGGGGGTATGTTATGCGCCAGGTTGGAAAGGAAGAACACGAGGGGTGCGACAATAACGTTGTTTCGGTGAGACGGTCATTGTAAAGAGGCATCGGACACCAGTCTGGTCTACGTCGCCTCGCGCGTGAGTCCCCTCTGCCTCCCAATTCTTTTTTGCGCAAGGGAACGATACTAAATGCAGTGCCGAACAGGAAAAGAGGCCAATACTACATATCTGGTTGGAAAAAAACGTGCATTGCAACGCACTCACCTCTGTCAAAGCCTTCTCTCTGGAACCGGAGAAAACCCTCGAGCTGCGCACCCCCCACCCGGGCCCTCTGCCCTCGCCCTCGAAACGTACCGGATACGCCTGCCCGGTCCGCAGGTCTATCGCTAGGCCTGTTTGTCTCGGCAGCCACCCGTCGTCGCGATGACGAGTGTCGTTATCCTTCGCTGAGCCCGTGTCCGTCGGCACCGGATGGTTTCGTCTCGCCTGTGGATCGCGGACACAGCCCACGTCAGCACGCGCGCTCCCAGCACCCTCGCTGACCACGTCTCTGCCCTGCATCCCACCGTCGAAGGTGACGCCACCGTTTTTTCTTCCAGCAGCGCTCGGGGCCCAGCCGCCGCCCACGGAAGGCGGCTGTGCAGCCGGAGTCTGGCTGACCGGCACGCTGTCTCCGGTCCGGGCAGCGGCGGAAGCGGCGGGCCGCATGGAGTTGAGGCGGGACATGCAGGCCAGCACGACGCGGAAAGCTCGCGGGGACTCGTGGAGAACGCACAAGAGGGCGTTCGACAGCGCCTCCGAACACGTTTTGCCGACGTAGCCCCCGACCACGTAAAGATCAAGGGGTTCCTCTGCTGTGCGGGGTAGCGAAGCAACATTGGGGAGGGGGGGGGGGTGACAGATTGATGGCCAAGGTCGGGGAGGAGCTTTTCGCTGGCCGAGTAACCGAGCAAGGCGTGAGGCAGATGTTGGTGGTGGTTGGGGCGTGGGTTAGGGTATCGGGTTTGCTTGATGTTCACCGCAAGCAGTGTTGGGAAAAGCAGTGTCGAACTTGATCGACACGCAGAGTGAGGGTTGGGGGAGCAGCCGCTTCCTGACCGCAGCCAGCCATATTCCGATTCTCTTTAGCTAAGTGCTGCTGATTTGAGTATCGTCGGTGCACCAAAGTACAGTACGTGCAAAAGGGTCAAACCACTATCTATTGCCATGGTGGGTTTGTTGATCCCAAGAAGAACACCCTCCTCGTTGCTGAGCTATTCGCGAAACGGTGCCCACCGGGACGACCAACAACCGATAGTACATAACCCATGGTTCGAACCAACACCATCACACCTCCATCGCCCCCGGCAGACATCAAACGGAGCATGCACGCTACCGCTTCCTCGACTTTGCGGGCATCATCGAGGTGCGCCAGGCACGTCCGCCCGCTGGCGGGATTCCGAAAGGCCACGATGTGGCAAGTGGTGGCGCTGTCTGAGCCCAGCCCCGCGGGACCCTCTCCGCAGCTGGCAGCGGCTACCTCGCCCTGGAGGACGCAAAGGACCTATCGCGGGGCCGCAAAAGCAGTGTGCGTTTAGAGGAGAAGTCAGAAATCCTCACAGCGAAATCCTCACAGCGATCGATAGAGGTAACAACAGTACTGTAGAAGGTCCGCTCGATCACTACCTGTACGTACTATATACACTTGAGCAGAGTAGGCGCAACAAACTCAGGCCCACAGCTTCCGGATGTCCGTCGTGGGGAAGACGATCGTGCTCCGTTACGTGCCCAATCAGCGCTCACGCTCCATTTTCGCGGTCAAGGGTGCTAAGCTATATGCCGGCAAGAGTGCAGGCTACAATATCGACGGCCGGCACGGCCGTAGCTTTGAACAAGCAGTCAATTTATATAGTCTACTTGTCGCCCAACACCGTCTTGTGTTCATGATGCCGAAGGAAGGACCGTCGAACTGCGGCGATATCGATGAAGTCCTGAAAGAAAACAACCGTCACCGAACGCGGTAAAACCCAAGCGGTACGAATATGCATCACCCAGCAGAGAGGCCGGGCTCAAACCACGGGGACAGACTTGTAGCTTTCATTTTGTGAGAGGAAGACTGAGTGCATGGAGTAACATCGGCCGAGATATGCATATGTATTCTTGAATGCTCTCTTCCGCCGGCGCCCATCATTTAACGTTGCAGTTCGATTGTCGCTGCCACGGGGCGTTGGCAACGAACGAACCAAGAGATTCGAAGGGAATCAAAGCGATCAATACACAGCTTCGCGCTCATATGTACAATGAGTCAAACAGACAGCCAGATAGCCCACACCAAATAAACAGGGCAGCAGTAGACTCGCCTCGTTAGATTTCTCGATGCCTTGCACACAGCGACACGCATATACCTCGGCAACGCTCTGCACGTGCGGCGAGCCGAGAATATCCTCTCTGCACTGCGAATAAGAGGACCGCCCGTCCGATTCGAGGAGCATCTCGTACCTCGTGACGGCTTCACGAGGAGAAGCAGCCGGCTGCGTGTGCTGTGTGTGCTGTGTGAATGTGATGAGGAAGTGCGGAGTGCGTAGACAGCAGCCGACAGACGGGCAAATGATCAGTTGCGCCGCATCGACTGGCTCCTTGGAGAAAAAGCGTAGATCATCGTGCGTCTGGCCCGTACACCCTACACCCCATCCCCACACCCCCACACAGCTGCTCCGCAAGGAGCAGGCTCTTGTTTCGAACACCTTGCACGACTCAGGGCTCGCGAAACAGAGAGAGGGAGAGGTGAGCTGCGTGCATAAGAGGCTGTCGGTGGGGCCGTCGAAGGCTAAGCATTAGCAGCACGTGAGCGAGGGAGCAAGCAAGAAGCTTGGGGCGGGTAAGAGCAAAAAAAGTTCAGTGTGCCCGTGTGCCTCTGTGCTGTCACCTCTCTATTTTGGCCATACATGTATGCATGTGATACGCCGCCCACTCTGTAGTAGCTTTAGTCTATGTAACAGAGACCATCATACGATGTCCCTGCATTCTTTCTGTTCGTTCTTGCACACCGCAATGGCAACGTGCCAGCGATCGGTGTCCTATCTGCGGAGAGTCTACTACTGCTGTGGCTATTCGCGTGCCTGTCTAGAGCTGATGTGCGGCATGCAAAACCGTGCACGCACGAGTACGTGCTGTTGAGATGCAACCATATCATTTTTTTGAGGGGGTGTGGTTTGCTGGTGTGCGGATGTTTTGTTTTTTGTTCATCGTTTTCAGCGCTGACACACTCACAGCAGCATTTCTTGCCATGCAGGAGCTCGGATCCTTGGTCACACAGAAGGGATCCTGCCCCTGAGCCCCCCTACCCAATTCTCCTGCGGTGCTTGCGTTTGTTTTTTTCACACGCGAGGGAAGAGTATGCAGGAATATCTTCCCTCGAATACGCTGCTGTTGCAGTTTCAAATAGTGGCGTCTTTGCATCTAAATAGTAAACGTTTGAATATTCGGAAGGAAAACCAAACAAGATGAATGTTTGTTTCGCGCGGTTGTTTTGTTTGGTGGTTGTCACTAGTCACTGCTAATAATCACCCAATCATGATTGTTTGAGTGCTTCCTGTTGCTGTCAGCAGTCAGCAGTCAGAACAGTTGAAGTTGTGGGGGTCGTTTTTGTTCTGGTTGCTGTCACGTCAACGACCTCTTTGCGGGCCAGCGGGGACAGGGGGATTCGACACTTCTTCGGAGCTCACCTTTGTTGTTGAAATAATGAAATAATGAAACAATTCATTAATTCCAAAGCTTTCTTCCCCACCTCGACGCCAAAGGAGTGCGAGCAACAGCAGCAAGCAGGGCTGCGCCGTGTACCAGGTATGATGCGTCTGGGACGAGACACACACGAGTCTGGGTGGTGGATCCGTGCCCCTCCAGCACCAGCAGTCTGGGAACTATAATAGGACTATTTTTATACAATTAGGTCCATGCACAACAGCAGTCGTCCAGTATTTCCCTAACACTAAGGTGCACCGATCTCGAAGGTGCGTGTAGGTATGGTTGTTCCGAAATCCGAAAGACGGGTTTTCTTACCTTCTTGTCAAGGCTTGAAAACATTCCCCCTCCGACGACTCCTGCTGTGAAAGGTATTTTCTCCAACGGGTAATCGCAGCCTATCCGTGATTGTATGTGTGCATATGTTCGGACGGACACGTATGCATAGTATGCATATTATGCACGCAAACTTGCTTGTTACGTATGCTTCTTGAAGCTAAGCGGCAACATAAGTTTCGCCGACACCTGCAGATGTAGACGATGCATGTAGCTTGCGATAACCTTCGCTGGGCGGGGCGGAGTGGCTCGGATACGCAAGCCTCGAGGCGGGAACATGTCTGCGTGTGTGATGTGATTACCGATAGTTTCGCGATCGGGCGCTACAACCGGGTCTGCATTTCGCAAGACTTGACGCCGCGGGAAGAACGCAAATATTCCGCGCGGGCATCTATTCGTAATTCCGTAGTTCCCAAGACGTTGCCGCTTATTCTTCTTCTGCTGCACAGCGGCCACGGTCTCATTGATCGGTGGGGTAACCCTGAGGTGCACATGGCACACGGGAATATGGGCTGCTGCCGCAGAAGTTTCGTATCGTGTGAACAGCGTACCAGATACTTGGGTGTAGTAGACGTGTCGTTGTTTGGGAGGCCACTTCGCAGATGGATGCTTGTTGCGGTGTCGTGTATGTTCTGTTATTTTTAGTCTACATACAGCGGTAACATCGTCTGCGCTAACCGGCTGACCAACATACAGACGTTGGTCTCAGTGCCGCTGAAAACAGAAAGGCTATGATCTGGGGCCCCGTGAGGGGGCGTCAAGGGGGATGCTAGGCTACCCTCCGGATTGAAGGTGGAAATGGCGGTAGCAACAGGAGAGAACTGCACGTGTCTAGAACCCAAGGCTGCTTCTTTGCACCGCCGTGTCGATGAGCTAGTTCCATGCAGAAATGCATGGAGAGCCCCTTTTATTTGCGAAGCCCTCTGACGGCCGTAAGAACTAGACAGAGCCCATGGTGGATGGCCTTCTAGATCCCGAACCTCGCCGTACTCCTGTTGGAATCTCCGACACACAGCTTCAGCGGGTAGCGATGCGTTTGACGCAGCAGCAGCAGCAGCAGTCGTGCTCATCTCTCCCGCGAGAAATAGATGAACAAGCACTGCTGTAAACTGCGCATTGCACTCAAAAATAAGACAGGAAAACTTTTTCGGCTGCCTTCGTCCACCTGAGCGTGACAACAATCTTTCGACCACAACGCCCCTGTGGCGAGCTCGAGACTCAAAAGGGCGAGCCGAGTTACAACTTCGCCTAAGTCTACGTACGGCACTGCTGCCACGTCGACAAAAAAAAAAAACCCTCTTTGGAGAAGACTTTGTGGGAGAACGTCAAGTTGTCAACCATATTTTGTTTGTTGGAGAACGTCAACTTGTCGACCATTTTTTTTTTTATTATTTTCCTTAGTATGACACAACGAATCCATCTCTATCATAGAAAAGAGTCAGAGACAGATTAGCAATGAATTCATAGAGTCAGAAAAAGCTACCTTTTGTTTGTTGGAGAACGTCAACTGTTCACCGTGCACCCCTTTCACCGAGGGCAGATTGTTGTGGCAGATTATGCACACGACATGTTTGAAACTGCAAGACGCAACCATGGTCTCCCTGGAACATATGCGAAGTGCCTCTCATGTGATGACTATGTACCGTATACGACCGAAGATAACACACCCACTGGACGAATTTTCAAAGCTCGATTTATCAACAGCAGAAAGAGTCGCAGCTCCGAAAACGGCGGAGTTGCCGCCGTCTGGTCGAGAGCTCTCCGAAAACGTATCGTTTCGTTATGCATCCTCTTCATCGTGGGAGTAATAGAGCTTGGAACGTCGGACCAAGGGGGGGTGTTATCTTGTGTCGTATATGGTACTGCTGTACACCATTTTTGAAGACGTTCCAAAGCACAGGATGCTCGAAGTTCCGTCATGTCTCAACCTTCGTCTGTCTGTACAGCAGTACTGCTGTCTGTCATTGATTCGCAGCTACATACCCCGTCACAATTCCCCCCCCACTTTTCCACCTTCCACACGCACACCATCTCAGACTGTGATGTAATATGTATGATCGCCCCCTCGAAAAAAAAACTCCAGCGAAACGCAAGCAGATCTACAGGGCTTGCCCCCACCCGCGCCCACCGGTGGGCGATCGGGCAGTTACCTTGCCGTAGCCCAGCAGAAATTAAGAAAGAGAGGAGAATTTTTCGCTTTAGCAACCACTCGGGAGACATGAGGGAGGGTGTGTGTGGATGGATCTTGGTTATATTTATTTTGCAACGGCTTAAGCCACGAGTCTTTTGAGTTTTGCCACGGTCAGGCGTGTCGGAGAGGGGAGGGATAGGAACCAATCTTAATTCTCGACCACCGTCACGCACGAAGGTGTGGGGGAGGGATAGATGCGGGTCTTCCGCTACCACCGGGGGGCACGAGGGAGGGCGAAGGGTTAAAGCGACAACAAACCGGCGTTGCATTCTGAAACGCAACCACTATTGCACTCTTTAATCTGGATAAAACAACTTTTACGGCTGTCTTCGCCGACCTGAGCGTGCCAATCTTCCGATACACAACGCCCTGTCGCGAGCTCGAGACAAAGCCGAAAGCACCGTGAAGTACGCTTACAGTCAGCCTTAGTTGCACAGACAAAAGACTCTATTTCCGACTTCGTGCCCTTGGTATGCATGTGCGAATCGCACATCCTCCACCCACCACCCTTTCCTCAACAACACCATCCGCTTCCGAGAGAATTTTACAAGCGTAGTCATGAGGACGGAGGCGCGTACGGCCCCCGAAGTCTTTTCTCTCTTATCACCACACTTGAATACAGCAGCACAAGCAAGGATAAATCAAAAGCGCGGGCTTCACGTCGTAGATAGCCAATTTCCGACCGAAAAAGGCGAACGTGTGCTCACATGGCAGAACGTCGTGGGTGGCTCACCAGTCTGCCCTCCTGAGCGTTTCTAGTTGGTAACACCTGACTTGGGAGCATATCGTTTGCGATGCTTGTAGCAAGGAAGACACGGTCACCTGGCGATGCTACCTTCATGAGCATCGATTTTATTCTTGACGTCGTTCTTTACACCATTGGTACAAATTCTGGGCGCACCATCCGGGGTCACACAGGAGAAAGGAGGACCACCCCGTCCTGTTGTTTTACAACACGTGTTGTCCACTCCGAAGCAGCACAATGCTTGTTTAAGAAGGTCACGTGGGGTGGGGTATTGATACGTAAATCCCCCCCCCCCCGGAGTCACGCTCCCCCCGGTGTGTGCCATCGGGGTTGGGTTTTCGTCGCTTGGCAGCGATGTTGTTAACAAGCCGATCACTTGGTGAGCTCGGCAACCAGGTTGCCGTTTTTTTTTTGCCTTTGGGTTGTTCTTTTTGCGGTAACCATGAATGGTGGTCGAGTAGATTATGTTGTGCGGGGTCGAGACCCCTCACTCCGCGCAACGGGGGATGATCGCACCACATTGTGTTTAAATGGTAAAGCATCCTCGAGGCAGTTACACAGTGCTTACAACTACTGTCTCTGGAAGTGCGAGCACCAGAAAATAAATTAAGTCATACGCAGCTGTCATCCGTACGCAAGGAAGTATGTATGCACAAGATGCCGAACACCCTTAGCAGGATGAAGCGCACCCTTCATGCGACTCGCCGAATACCTCACGGCGCTTCGCGCTTGGTGATGTGAGAGCCTGGTCCGATGATAACCCGGCGTGCTTCGTCCCGGCTTTGGGGATGCGAGGTCAATGGTCTAGCGACTACGGCATGCACGACTATGAGTACACCCCCCCCCCCCGGAGTCAAAGTGAGGCTTGGCACAAGAGTAATAAATCGTCCGTGTATTTTATCCGTACCCTTCGTAAGAGTCTACGCCATCACCCCGCTGTTTGCCGAAGAGCAATACGTGCAGTAGCAACTGATAGCCAAACGTTTGTTGCGGCTGGTTCGCTTTGTCGTACGTGTATCGTGTTCGGTGCTGCAGCAAAGGGAGGAAAGAGGAGCAGCGGCCCCGTCGGCAGGCTACAGGCAGAGTCAGTCCGACAGGTGGCGATTTCGATGCCCCAGAATCAGCACTGCAGCAGCAACAGAGGTATCGTTTCTCCGCTGGAGCCACATGCTTATGCTTGTGACCGCATGATCAAGGTCGGCGGCCACTTCTCTTCCCTGCAAAACATCCCGGGCGGGCACTACAACCACCCGTGCTGCCAGCACCAACACCTCCACAGCTCCTCGGGGTCGGGAACGCGAACGACGCTGGACACGTCGAGGACGAGGTCCCAATCTTCGGACGCAAGGCTGTACTGGCGGGTCGCGGGAGAGATGGAAGGGGGGGGCTCCAGTGAAGGGGGGGACTCCAATGACACCGGCGGGCGGCGAAACATTGACTGCAACCTGGCTTTGTCCGATTTTTCACAGCTCTCCTTCTTGGCCAAGGTGAGAGTGGGGGGGGTCTTATGATCCTTTCGAGGCTGCTGAGGGGGTCCGCGGGAGGGGGGCGCGGGGGGGGGGG